TTGTACGACTCAAGGTCGTAATTCCTAAGCTCAACCTTATAACTTAATTCTCCAACTATCAATAATTAAATTTTCAGCGACAAGCTTTCGACCTCTCTCCGTTACCTAAGTGTCTACTCTTAACTATAAGAACTCATTTGCATAAATCAAGTCTTCTTCTTCGGGAGAAAGTTTTCAATAGAAAGTATTGTTAAAAAGAAATAAATTTTCCCCAAGAGGATTAGTTGAAGGTTCGTGGATAGACCCGTTACTCGATCTTCAGGGAAACAGACGCATTTAGTACGTACACTGTAACGGGCAACAGTAACCATATGTTAGCCAAGTGGTCATGGTCACGAACTTGTGGCCGGTGTTCTCGAGTCACGGGTTCTAAATCTAGTGCCACTGGACACTCGCCGTGTAGAAAAGCTGATGCACGTTCAATTTGCGGGGGCCCAAAGACCTCCCATTGGAGTGGTGCGGATGTTTAAAGAGGATGGTCGGCTCAGGTATGAACCCCACCCCTTAACCGTGATTCAGAATTACGAGATCTGTCACCCTCATGATTCTTCAGAGTGTGACGTAAATAAAATAAAATCAAGTAACAGGCGTAAGACATGTATCAAAATCAGGAGCGTAGCTACCGCCATATCAGCCGTATCAATGATACGAGGCCGCCAAGATACAGGGGCCCCAAGTAAAAAATCGTAGGATAGTAAGGTGGTCTGAAAAGGGCCCCAAGGAATTTTGATACAGGGCCCATTCGAGACTAGCTAAGCCAGTGATCAAAATATAAAATAATTTAATACCTATATATAAATGAATAGTATTATTAGCAATCGTGTTTAATATAAATAATAATACAAAATATATTTATATAATTCAGTGCTGTGTGTGTATGAGTAAGAGAAAGAGAGACTCGGGTTAAAATCCACAAGCAAACTAATGCATTTATAGTATCCGGTTTAAACACTCAAGCGACAGATATATTTGAGCGATCAATTATATTACAATTAAGTTACAATCATATTATCCTAAATAATGTAAAATGTAATTATACATATTCTGTAAAAATAATGCGGCACAAAAATTGATGTAAGCTTCAATCTTACTTTCAAAAGAACATATTGCGTATGAAAGGCTTCTGAAAAATTTCGGATATTCAACTCAAAAAATAACAATAGTATTTTTCCGATGCAGAGGAAACTAACAAGACTTCTCGAGCAATTACTGTTGAAATGGACAATACACGTAAGTTTCAATGTTCTCTTATGAGGTTAATAGAACTCAACAGAGAAACAAACTATCGGAAAAGTTCGGCGATCGATTGCATTTTGGAAGAAGCCATTAACAAGCTTTAATCGATTTTTTCGCTTGTCAGTCAATGAAGGTGGCATCGTTTCCAGTAAATGGCAGACGTGAATAGAAGTGAAGTATGTCTTTTTAAAGCATTAGCTTCCATTGTTCTTGAAATGCTCTCTGTAGCACTTAGTATAATTAATAACACTAATCAGCGAAGCCTTTTTGTTGCAGAAACAGCTTTACTGATTTTTATATTTTTCATGCCCCTGATTTCAAATATTGTCAGAAAATTTCATTCAGGACTCAGTTTGTGTGTTATAAAATTTCTCTCAAATTATCAATTCCCAATATAGTTCAAAGAGAATACCTTTCCTAGATATTTCATTCTATACCAGTTCTTCCCGTTTTGGTTGTGTCAGATATTTGGTTCTTTGAAACCAGGCATAGTAATCTATACTTCTATTCGCTTCATTACCATTAATTTCAACATTTTGTAGTAGCTAGAAAAAATATCTGACTTGAGTTAAGTTTTTATTGCATGTGTGACGGGCGTTTTGCATATTCCTTTTTTTTAAATTAAAATTACATTTTGATTTTTGAAAAAAATGAATGGTCAAGGTATTACCCTAAGGCACTACCCTAAAATTGTGAATTTTGCCAAAAATTGACAAATTTTTATAGATTTATTTTATAGATCATCTTATTCGCTTTATAAAAGTACCAAGTTTATTATTTTTCGTTCACTAGAACAAAAGCTGCGTTTTAGTAAAAGAATATGTCATTACTTTACGTAAGATATTTTAAAACGCTTTTTACTCGAAATGTGTTTTTTTTTAAATGTTCAAACGGGGACAACGATTGCTGAAAAAAGTTCTGAAAATAATTAACTGAAATTTTTTTAGTATGTTCTGTTTAATAGTAGAAGTGTTTTAACCTTCAGATTTATAAATCTCTGTTTTATTACAAAATTTACAGTCCCTTATGTGAATATAATTACTGTTTTTGTAAGTAATTTCATATAATAACTAAGATAAAATGCTCTAGATTTCGTAAAAACTAAAATATATCTTATCCTGAAGGTCATTTCAAAAATGAATAACATAGAACACATCAGAATTGAAAATTTATTCAGAAACTTTTGGTCCCCCGTTTATGTTATTTTCTGTAATTTCTTACCAATTTTTTCCCATTTTAGTAGTAATAATTTATTTCTCTCTTTCTAATTAGCATATTTTTCTTAAAATGTACTAAAAAAATCTAGAAGCCACAAAAAAATCCCCATATCTCCATTTTTTTAAAAAAAGTAATCGGATACCTTAAGTCACGCACACACATTTTATTTAAATTATATAGTTTATTATTTTGCTTTACTATATTGTTACGTTTTTTGTTTGGACTGAACAATGAAAATATTTTGGGCACCTCTTTTTTAAAACAAAAATGGGAAATATCGGTAACGTGATGTCATTAGTGAAACTCTTTCATATGTGGCGTAAATGAAATAACTGAGAATATATATATAATTTTTCTAAGCGCAGTATGAACTGAGAAAAACATTCGTATCATTTCTTAAATGCAGGTGATGAATGAACTCTTTGGTCTACAATATAATCATTTAAATGACATTAAATTCAGTAAAAACGAGGTAGAAAAATTAAACATTGTGTTAAAATTTTTACATTTAAAGAGAAAAATTCATTCAAAAGTTTAAAATATAATTTCGAATTTTTAAGTATGCCTTAAAAATATACTTGGGATACATTAACATCTGATTCGGTTTAATATAATACGGGAGGAGTAGTAAACTGTAGTAATTAGGAAGATATTTATCAAATCCATATAAAGCTTTATTACACAATTTTATACACTCACAATTGGAATAAAATTTAACTATAGAATGTACTAATTATGCTAAAAGGGTTTATAAAAAATATACCTGCTCATTAATGTTCAGTAATTATATTAACAATTACATCTCTTATGTGCAAGTCCATTGAAAGCTAATGGATTCTCTTTCTAAAATTAAGCATGGAATTTGGAAATGAAATCTGGAATATAGCGCAAAAAATATTATTAAGTTATTATGAATAAGCATTTTAAAATGTGACACACACACACATTGCAGAAAATTATATTTAGATAACATAAAAATAACTTTCAGAATGCTATGACTGAATGTATTGAAATTTGTCACTTAAAATAACTGACGTGAAATCATTGAAAGGAAAATTAGATTTTAAAAGACCCATGGATAGAATCCATCTGCATGGGTTCTGTCCATGAAAATCAGTAAATGAAAAAGTTGTACGTGTCTTGACTAGCCAATCGCATACAAAAATTCTAACGTTTATTCGGGCTGATAATGTATTACTGGGATTTCTCGCTTTCCATCCCTCGATTTCTGCGTGAATATGAATATAACTTAATTACATCAACGCAAATTCAGACTTACAATTCATAGTAATCCTTTATCTATATTTCTAGTTTAAAAAACTATCGTTTCAAAAACTCGCTAATGTTTAAAAATGTATGTTAATTTGGTTATCTGTTCATTTTAATTAACAATGAAGCGAAATCAGTATTTTTTACACAAATGTTAAAATATTTGCTTCTGTATCTTACGTTTCACATAAGAATCATTATTCAAACTTATGCAAATGTGATCCCGTAAGGCACATTTTCTGATATTTGAAAATTGTATTACATATTATTGTTGTTTGGCAGCAGTATATAAAAATCAAGATATTATACAGTAGAGTGAAGTGTTAAAAACTCTCTCTCTCTCTCTCTCATTTACATCTTTCTAAGATATATTTATAAGGGAGACGCAAACACTCAAAATGCGATAATCAATTAAAAACTGCATGAAGTTCTAACTCCATATAAAATATAAAAATAAAATACAGAAACATTGAATATGAATATAGTTCAAAGTTGCTTAGATCATAAATTCTAGAAAGTTATGCAAGTCTAAGTAATAATCAGTCTAAGGAATATACATAATATAGCATTATATACATATATGTTGACGCATATAGTTAACAAGCGGGAATTTCCATTTTACCTAAATTCAAAAATCAATGATAAAATTTTATCCAGGACTTTTAAGTTTGTGACTTAAAGCTTAAGAGATTTTATGAAGGTTTTGTGGAAGAGACTCAATTTCTTTTGATCATATCATTTGATAACAGTTCTTGAATCTAGCTAAAGTGTTTCTAACTCATTTTATTAAAAATACAAGTAATTTGAAATTATTTTGATAGATTTTATATTACTTCTTATTGCACTTTTAAGTCATTAGTTTTAAACATTTATCATATTGAACACTAACAGTATAAGGAAGTTTTAGTTATTTTAACTATTAGAATTTTTTTTTAAGTCTGAGCTATATTTTTTTCAACTCCTACTATTAGCTCATTTTCTCCCTATATATATATATAATATATTACATTATTTATAAAAAAAATTACTTTTCAATTCCCACTATTATATATATATATATATATATTCCATGTCTTGTTCAAATTTTCAACCGCTAATAAAATACTTTCTTTCATCCATTCAAGTTCAAATACATTTTTTAAACTTGTAGTGGATGACACTTGATGTTAAAACACTTTTCAAATATTAATTCATTAATTAAATTAAAAAATGTATAAATATTAACAAACAAAAATAATAGTCCAATAGCATATATAGAAAAGAAAATCGTTCGTTGTGTCCCTGTAGCGCAATGAAAAGCGCTTTGGACCTCTAATTCGAAAGTCGTGGGTTCAAATCCCACCGGGGATGGCCTAATTTCTGAGAATGTGATCTCCTTTTTTAATATACTATTTTATTAGAATAATTAAATTTAATGAATTAACAAATAGTAACAAACGAAAGAAAATAGTCCAACACCATATATAGAAAGGAAAATGGAAAATATTGCAAGGAAAATCGCTTTCTATTTCGTTACTTAATATTGAGATTTTGTCATATGTATATACATATTTATATTAATAGTAACTATTTAATGAAAAGTAACTAAAATAAAAATTTTCTTTGTTGACCTAAGTAGAAATTGACTTAAAAGAATTTTTTTTTATATTACTTGTTTCTGTGAATTCAATATATGCTTCTAAATAATCAATAAAGTTCATGTGTATTAAACGAAAATATTGAAAGGTAGTTGCTACACATAATTATAGGGAAAGTCATTTATGAAACACTTGGACGGAATGAACTTACATTTTTCATTCGTGTAATTTTTTAATTAGATTGTGAAATAAAGAAAAGTAAAATTTTGACGAATAATACAATTACGAATCACTCAAGAAAGCTTTTAGGTTTTTTAGCAAAAGGCTCCTCTTTTAATTCTAGAATTCAGTGTGTTAAATGTAATTAAAAATTGTCCTTGTCTTATAACAATAAAAATCTAAAACCTCTACATTTTAGGATGAAAATATAATTTGTGATTGACTACAAGTAATACATGAGCAAAGAAATGCCTTGGCAATTTATCTAAGAAAAGCTATTATTTTCCTTTCAGAGATGTAATTGATAAAAATAAATAAAAATATTTAATAAAATTTATTTCTAGATCTCAGATAAGGTCTTTTAAAGAAAATCGCAACTTCGAGAAGCATCTACTTAAAATATCTCCAAGGTAACAACAAAAGTGGCTCAGATTTTAATAACATCGAAGATTTACAATTTAATTTAATCATTTCGAAGGGCTTCTGAAGCATTATAGAATCCTCCTCAAGTAATTGTTTGTCACAAAACGTCTGTCTATGCTGGTTGAAGGCAGAATCAAATAAATTCATTGATATTACGAATAAATATTCATCAATTTTTAAATTTATTTTTAAGCCTGAAGTTTTTGGATCAATTTCGAAAATGAAATGAAAACATATTTTGATGGGCATAAAAATTGTCATTTATATTTTTACTTCAACAAATCTAATATTTTATTTCCACTTCATTGAGGGAACAGGATGATCTGACAGATAAGTTTATAGATGATTCAAACTTTTAAACAGATTTATTCTAACTATAAATATTTCGAAAAATATGTCAGTTATTCATTCAATCGTGTTTGTCATATATTTTTCTTTCATTTTAAAAAGGTATGTTCCTATGATGCTTATTTTTACACTTTACTAAACTTCAAAGACATAGATTTTGAAATTTAAAAGCTATTCATCGGAATGATTATTTTTACAATTGATCGACATGTGAAGAAAGATTCGGAGACAAGTCTCTACAAAATGCGTAGAGATAAAAAATGTAAATAAAATCAATAACAAAGAAGCAGAACTTTTATGTTTGGAAACAAAATGCTATACAAATAAATGATAAAATAAAATATTAATATCAAAGAGAGATAAAGATTATTTTAAAGTAATAGGTAATAAATTTTATGAAAACTAAAAAGTTTTTCAAATGTCAGTGAGGTAAAAAATGAAGTATAATTACTGAATTTCTTTTAAAAACTTTATATAAAGAAAGATATTACTTTATTTTTTATTCATTATAACCTCTTGTTTTGTACCAACTTGAGGTCTAATTTTGAACCATAATCAAGTGATGGAAACCACCTATTCGGTATAGTGGTCAGTGACGCTGCCTGCAGCCCAGTAGGGCCTGGGCTCGAGAATCCTGGATAAACCATGGATGTTTGTGCTGTAATTCTTCCTTCTTGCCTTTGTGTTATAAGCCTCCCCCGTTGATACATAGTGTCATGCACCGGGTTTATGAATGTTCTCAATAAAAAAAAAATCAAGCAATGGGAAAAGAGCTTAAAAATAAATAATGAAAGAATGCTCAGTAAAAAAACTCTCGCGAAAAAGAACTTTGATTTATTCACTGAAAAAATAATATTTTAATCAAATTTCATAAAAAAAAAGTAGATGAAGTAATAAAATTAATTACCATTCGCGATTTTTTAAAAAATTTTCTCACTTATCTTTGACTGAAGTAAAAAATATGGTACATATCTCAACATTTTCCTAAAATAACAATAATATAATTTTTCTGTTATATTTTCATAACATATTTTTAATTTCAAAAGATTGAAAAACTTTCTCTAAAAAGAAAGATCTGTAAAATTATCTTGCATTGTGAAATATAAAGGCACAATACAGTTATTGAAAAAATTATGAGTGTTATTATATGAAATGTCAAAAATACCTTCTTTCTGTAACTATGCTGATTAAGCTAATATATACCGTATATTATTTTCATAATATGTAATGGATTCAAAACGCGAATTGCACAGTTTAATGTATGTAACACACTCGTTAATAGTATTTCTAGACGTTTTCCAAAAATCGGAGATAGCTACTAAAATATTTAATTTAGACATATAAAAGGAGTTTTCGCAAGATATTTTCAAGACACAATCAAAATATAATTAGTTACTGAAATTACCAGTGATTAATTAAAATTTGTTATTCTTTTAAGAGTAAAGAGATTCATCCTACTCCATTCATGAAAAAAATCCCCAGGCACCTTCATTCAAAACGTGGCAAACATAAGAGATAGTTCAAACTGCAAAAAAGAGTTTTAAAAATAGGACTTCCGATATTACGTTAGAAAGTGCTTCATCCACAAAATGTCTCAAAAATATTTCTGGTCTACTGAACTTTCTTGGAATAACCAAGACCCTTGAAATCGATTTTTTGACTTTACAATGTGTGGAACTAAGCAAAAATTCTAGTCGAACTCGGATATTTTTCAGACGCGTTATACATATGTGTGATAGCTAAACTTTCACTTTTCTTAACAGTTAAAGGCACACGAGTTATAGATTTTCAGTATAAAGATATGATATATATTTTCGACTGTCTTTTCAACGTGAGTGACTTACTTAACTGAAGATTTTTCAGAATGTTCGGAATCTAGGTAAGATTTGGCTTATATTTCATACACTGGAGTAAGCTATACAGGTATTCTTTAATTTTTTTTTACTACCATCGCACTAGAACTACCAGTTGATTCAAAACTAGTGTGACCAATTTTAAAAACATATACCTATGAATGGTAAATTTGTATCCCTTTGCTGACAGTTATATTTTTAAAATGAAGCATTTAAAAATTATCAATATAATTATTTGTATTAGTGGGAGTAAATTATGGCTCCGAAATTATATCATTAAACCAGAAACGAAATTTAAATCTTTTGAAAGAAGTTTGCTCAAATTCTGTTATAAATAAAGCATTTAAATCCTGAAAATACATTTTGCTAATGGATTATTATCTGATCTTCGAAAGGAAGTAAATTTTGGCTGGCAATCAAATGCTCCAGAGAAAAAATGCGGACGAAAGTAATTCCGCAGGGGAAAAGAAAAAAAAAGCTGAAAAGACTTATCGCTGTAGAAAATCCTCTGCCTCAAAGAACTTCAACAAAGAAACTAAAGGTATCGCAATCGACAACTTGTCCGTCAGATAAAGAAAATTGACTATAAAAACCTGAATAAATCAGTCTGTCTTCAAATGTTCGTTATGACCGTAAAAAAGGAAGAAAACGATCTTGGCTTCTGTATTTCATGTTACGCAAAGGTAGATACAAAGCATGAATAACTTCTGATGAAGCACTGTTTCATCCTTCATTCACAACTGGCAAAACGAAGATTCAAATTATTTCACTCAAAAAACGTCGCAAGGACGCAGCTGTTTTGTAGAATGCAAGTTGGCCGTCAGGTGTTACGGTATGGATTGGAATGTTCTCTCAAGGCTTAACAAAACCTTTTTTGTAGAACCAAAGGCTTAAAATTGATGCTCTTTACTATCAGAATAAAGTTTTGAAACACTTAATCAAAGAAAGTAAACGTCTTTACCCTCAAGAAAACTTTGTTTTTCACCAAGATTCTGCACCAAGTCATACCGCAAAATCAACTATAAATTGGTTGAAAGATTCAAAAATAAATTTGCTGCCTCCTGAGAAATGACTAACATCATCCCTGGATAGTGTTCATTGAGATTATTTTTTATGGGATTACTTTAAATAAACAATCAAACAGACGTAAAGTAAAAACTACACATGGCCTTCAAAAAGCAATCAAAGAGGAAGTTGGAAAAATACCCCTCAAAATGGTCAAAAAGCCCTTTTGGCTTGGATGAAACGTTTACGCAAAGTGTACTATGCCAAAGGAAGCCACATTGAAAATTTCCTGTAAATAACTGAATTAGATAAAAATTTATGATGCGCTGGAAGTGGTCACATTATTTTTTAATCAACCGGTATATAGTGGATAACTGACTTCGTAGTTTTGAGTCATTGCCAAGTAACGAAGTGTCTCATGTATGTACCATATCCTAAGAACTCACTCTCAAATTTCGAAATCACCCCTTTTGTGGTCTTTGAGGCCCAATAGAACTTGAAACAATAGAAACCCAATAGAAAAGTGAAATAAAATATCTGGGTTACAAATATTTGAAAAAAATTGAAAAATTAAAATTACAAATCTTCGTGAAATTGCTCCAAATGTTCCTTGAAACAAAAAGTTCACAAAAACCCAAATATGTTCCATAAGTATATAGTCATTTTGGTTTTATTTCTCATCTTCTTTATCATAAATAGATAAATCCGCATCAGAGTCACTGTCGTATTCATCGAATTCCAGCAAATATTCTTTTTCAGTATCACTTTTGTTGAAATCCAACGCCACTAGACATATTGGCAAAAAGAAAACAATGATAACAATAAGCAACAAAAATAGTTGTACAAATTTTAGAAAGCGAAACGAAACTCAAACGATCGTGCACCTTAGTCAGTGTGAAAAGGAAAAATTAAAATATGCGTCGTA